GCCCCCCGCTGGCAAAAAGTGGGATCACGCCGCAGATGATCTTAATCTAAAAGGCACTAATGAAGTGTTGGGCATTCTATTATAAATATAGGTTTATATGGAGAAGACCGGAGACAAGAGGTAAAAAATTGCTATTTCTATATACCAGTTATTAATTAATGTTTTATAAGGATATATTTTAATATGCCGATTAAAAAAAAATTGAATTTAGCCACTATATATAACAGTATCCATTAAATTTAGCAGACGCTTTTCTCCAAAGCGACTTCTTATTATTTAATATATGTTTATATATACATTATAAATGTGTTCAGAACCAACAGTATTTCATACAGATGTGTGTGTACGGTACTACTCAGACAGTGAGACACGGTACATGTGTTGTTATTTAGCCGACGCCGTCTGTCTGTAAGTTCATCATTTTTATTAGAGGTTAAGCTTCTGATCCTCTGCCTACATTCCCCTAGAAACTGCTACCTTCCCCTCCTCCTGTAAACATGCTGGTTTCCATGACAACACAAAGCAGGATCCACAGAGTAAACACTCAGGCAGCCACGCAGGATGGAGAAGTGCCCGACGATGGTGTCTGAGCCGAGGTGAAAGGTTAGAGGAGGAAGAGAAGGACAGAGGAAGGAGGAGAGGAGGAAATGGAAATGTGTTCACTGTTTCTTTACTATTTTATATCTTGTTTTCTTGTTTTTTTTGTTTGCGTTTCCTTTTAGTTGATTTGGATATTTATTATTTATCCATCTAGATTTTATTCTCATTGATCTAAAACATAACCTGAAATTTAGTAATGTACAACTACAAATGTAGTTTTTTTTTTAAATTTATTTTATTATTTATTTATTGTAGTGTAATGTGGTCACATGTGAGAGATGTTAAACACAGCAAGACATACAAATGATGTGGGCCACATGCAAATACCTATGTCCCAAATTTCTTCAAACAAACCAGGGCTTTATACCTGACACGTTAGCATACAGTATAAGCTGTGCTGTACTGAATATACCATATTATTAGAGTATGCTATTTGCTTAATATACCATATTATTAGAGTATGCTATTTAATATTTACTGTTCGTTGGATTTAATTTGGCTTAAAAAAATAAAGGTTACTCGAAAATGAACTCAAAATATAAATCCATAATCTAGATGTAATGGTCAATGCAAACAAGATGGTAGAAGTACGTTGTAAAAGTTGCAGGTTAATGCAATTGTATGAAAACATAAAAACAAGATGCATGTAAGCTAGTGATATGTTTGACTGAATGTTCATGTTCAAGTGCAACACTAGAAATAGTTTAAATGTTTGAAACGTTGACAGAAATTTGTGTCATTTCAGGATTAAAAAGCTGACTTTTAGCTTCCTTAAATGAATCCTTATATTTTTGGTGAATCAACGAAATACATACGGATATACTGTATGTGGTATGATATGTATATTCATATATTTTATTTACTGTATTTCCTATTCACTAACATACTTGACTAATAACTTATAATTATTATTATTATTAGTTGTTGTTGTTGTTGTTGTTGTAATATGGCGGTTCAACTGACGTCACCGGAGTGGCAGCAGAATAATTAGAAACGCTTTGACTGAATTTTCTTTAATTATTTACACATTAAACCGTGGCGAGAGCGAAAGGGCGACGAAGGAAAGGACAGGAGTTCCTGGTAACGGAGCAATGAGGAGGGACGCTGAGGAGACTCCTAGACTCCTCTGCTCAGAGAAGAAGAGGAGTCTCCACAGACTCCTGGAGGAACAGAGCTGCTAACATTCCCGAAACTCTCTAAACGACGTGTCTCTGTCTGCGACGACAACAACGACCGACAGGTGAGTGAGCGAACCGACAACAACCGTCATCGCGGACTGACGTCATCAACTGACTTTTTATTTATTTTTATTGAATCCCAAATAGAACTCCATACTTGACTATATGAAAACTTTTAGGTTCGTTGTAATGATTCGACAACATACAGGCCATAGTTATTGTCTCGTATTTTTAGTTCTAGATTACTAGTTTTGATCGTTTAAACTGCAGATGTTTTTTGTTTGTAATTTTCCCCTCCGTTTTCTATCGTCTTCATTTAGCTAGTTAGTCGTAAAATGATCGCTTTTCAGTGGCGGTTGGACATGGAATTATTAAGAATTTAATTGGAATTTAAAAACCTATACAAGTTGTTTTTTAATTCTATAAGTGAGCAGTTTATCTTGTCAAACACATTCTTGGATTATTGTCTCTGTTCTGTTGCCTACACGTATATACATATACTGTATACATATAGATAGATAGATAGATAGATAGATAGATAGATAGATAGATATTGTAAAATGTAATAGTCATTGTACTAATAGAACGAGTAGCATAGAAGCATAAAATTAGCAGCAGGCTAGCATTTGTAATAAAACAAGTAGTAGTTCCAGGACCAACTAAAATAATAGTAATAGTAGGATTATTTGTAGTTTTTGGGGTTGTATTAAAAGTATGTATAGCAGAATATGTTTGTACTAAAATACATTATTTTATTTTTTATATATATATATTTCATTGAAAGTGCAGAAGGTTTTTAAGACCATGTTCCAACCATGAGCGGGAAAAGTTGCCACCTCCTGGTGTCTTCATCACTGAGCATGATCAGAGGACACCAGCCTCAGTCCATCAAGATTCCTACATCCCCCCCACCAAGGTCCAGAACTGAGAAAACCACTCACTCCTTGGCCTCGGGCAGTAGCCACGCCTCTTTGCCAACACTGAGCCTTCGCCGTCAGGTGCTGACTAATGGGAAAAGCATCCAAAATACATCATCACAACAACCGGTGCCTCCTCAACAAACGACGACCAAAGCAATTACTAACAATGGTGTTAAAGGTAAAACAGTCACCAATATTTAATTCCTAAATTCCTACTGTTTAATTCCTAAACAGTGTTTATAAAATGTCAACAACAAACGAGGATCATTTTCTTTTCATTTTTTTTCTGAAGCAAAACAAATGCAGTACAGGAAAATGCTAAAGTAACAAAACTGAACAGAGGTTAGGGTGTCTCCGTAGAAACTCAAAGCAGAGACAAGCTTTCTGTAGGACAGGCCAGAACTAGCTCTAATTGAATCACTCAGTCCTGTGCATCACTCTGGGTTATGACCCACCATTTGAAAAGCACTGCCCTGGAAGACCAATGTCAAGACCACTCATCTAAATGTCAGTGTGATTGAGCAGACAAATTCAAGGTAAGACTCTTAGCTGTGTCTCCTCAGTAAACTTCCTCTCATATATGTTGATAATTAACCAGGCGTAAACCTGTTTGAACAGTTCTGTGGAAGAAAAAAAAGCGAAAGATGAAAAGTTCATTAGTGATTAACAGAGAAGAAAGGTTCTCAGGGCTGGAAATGATTACTGTCCTTTCATAACCATGTGTAAGGGACAGTGGTGGCTTGGTGGTTAAGAAAGCAGACTTGGGTCTGGACGGTGTCAAGTTCAAGTCCACTAGCTGAAAAGTAACCTCTCAGGTGCATTGAGCAAGGCAAGCCCACAAGTTTTGAACCTTACACGTTAAAATTTGTTGAACAAAATTTGAGGTGAGAATGTGGATAAACTCTTTCCTCATGTTCTCGTGGTTTGTCTGAGATTATGTCCATCAGGTGGCGCTGTGTCTGTGCCCACCATGGAAGTATTTGGAAGGCCAGTCGCTGCAGACCAGAGAGTGACCAGTAATCACATGACTGCCGTTACAGGCCACGCATGTACATCAGGACCGGCTGTGCCTTACGCTCCGTCTCATTTGCACGGTGTTCCGGTTCCTCACACTGAAGCCAGGTTGGTGACACCAATAACGATTGATGTGAGTGACGATGAACAAACCTTGAGAGTGTTACTATAGCAAACAAAACCAATATGTTTCAGATCCTTACTATCCAGAGAGTCCTTGGCATCTACTACCCTCAGTCTATTTGACACACAGTCTGTGTTTAGTGGGAAACATGACTGGCCATATGGCTACCGGGTGCTCCCCCCACTGGGGGAACCTCAGTGCTCCACCCAAGCAAGTGAAGGTGGAGAGCAGCTCAGTGCTTTACCAGATACAGCCATGTCCGGCACAATCATATCCGGAGGCACCAGCACCTCCGCCTCCCTGCCTTCCTATCTGTTTGCAGGAGACATCGGAAGCCCTAGACCACCCCGGGCCAAGAAAAGGACCCTCTCCATATCGCCCTTGTCAGACGTCATTGGTACAGATTTCAACTCCATCATACGGACCTCTCCTACCTCACTTGTGGCCTATATCAACGGTTCCCACAGCTCCCCAGTCTCCTTCACCACACTCTCACCGGCCCAGTCCGAGTGTTATGGTCACTTTCTGGGTATGAGAGGGGGATGTATCCCACAAGTTCATCCCTACAACATGCCATGCTCTTCCAAGAACATGGAACCACAGACTGAACTTGGACGAATGCAGGTTCTAGAAGAGAGAGGGAGTCTAGAGAGCCACAAGACAAACATGGTGGTGGTGGAGCAGCAGTGTTTCCCAGAGAGACCCTCAGAGACCTGCGTTCAAACCTCCAACCATCTGCTGCCACCATTACAACTACAGCCGTCATTGTTGGCCACAGTACATGAAGATGACACTCAACAAGGGCCTCCGCCACCGTACCACTCCCACCAACACATACGCCTCTCGAGGCGCCAATTCAAAACATCCGAGGAATATCACTCTCATTCCATGCTTCCTTTAAGGAATGGGATGGGCTTCCTACCACAGATCCCAATGTTGGAGGAGGAAGAAGGTGAACTGGAGGACTATGGAGCCCACGGCTGCAAATGGCTGGACTGCAGTGCAGTTTGCGACCAAAGGGAAGAGCTGGTGCGGCACATAGAGAGGGCACACATAGATCAGCGGAAAGCTGAGGATTTCACCTGCTACTGGTTGGACTGTCCACGAAACTTCAAACCATTCAATGCCCGATACAAGCTTCTGATCCATATGAGGGTCCATTCAGGGGAGAAACCCAACAAGTGCACGGTACATCACTCACATCACAGCTGTTACAACCAACATTTTCATCAACACCAGATTTGTCTGCAGATTCAACATTTTCATATAGCAAAGTATCTAGGGCTAGGAAACTAACTGCATCCACATGTTCTGTGTTTGAAAGCCATTCTTTCCTCTTTACTTGCCAACCTGGTAATTAGCAGAACTCTGTGATAATTGACGTGGGAGTTAACTCAATTGTGTAGTCATTAAATCAGCACAAAGGAGGCACTTTAGATCTGGCATGGCACTGTGACACTGTCATCGCCTAGACTGTCGGCAGCAGCAGATTTGCCAGGCCGCTGTCTGAAGAACTTGGCTGTAGTTCTGCGAAGGTGATGCCCCACATGCTGTCTCTGTGTAGGTCTGTGTCTACAGCCCCGCACCCTGCCCCAAAAGACACTGGCACCAGTTAATAGGCCCTGTGATAGTTGAGTAGTTGGCATTGTGGTCAAATGGAGGAAAGATATAACTTTATGTGTTAACAGACGATGTGTCATATCACCGAGGGTGTCTGCCATCTCTGATGCACTTGTTTATTTATATATGGCGATGATTTAACGCTGTCGTTTTTGAAGTGTTCAGAAGTTCAGACTTCAGACTTCCTCTTCCTCTGATTATTTTTTCTTTTTACACCCTTTTTTTAGTCACCACTCAAACCCATCTGTCCTTATGTATTGATATATCACACCTCATCTATGCATCTATGTTTACATCTATGTTCTGCACCGTGTCCTTAAACTATCTGGGGTCAATCATTTTGCCCCTCTGTCTGATAGCATTATCAAAAACTAGTGATTCTCATTAATATATTTGGGAAATAATTCAGATTTTAATGCACAGGCAGATTGAAATAGTGCACTGTCCGTCCACTTATCCTTGCTCTTATACACAGTCAATACATTATTTACACATACTGAGGGGAAACGTTTTGGTTTCATTATGATAAATCAATCTTAAAATACCATCTCAGCGCCTAGCATACAGTACGTTTGTGGAACTTCAGGTCAGACGCTCGTGACTAGTCAGTCTCTCTGAGCACAGGTCAGTCAGTAAGAAGGGTTTGACTGACTGACTCAACTGACAAATGGACTGTAAGACTATAAATATATATATTTCCTTTTTTTTATTTTGTAATATTCCTTAAATTATTTCAGCACCATCTTCTTAACCTCATCCCCAAACTGATGCTGGGAATATAATATTGCTGTTTCTAACCCTATCTTGGCCACCAAAAATCTTTGACGGTGCCAAATCTGAGCAGGAAATCTAGCATCAATCCCGGCTGTTAAGATGTTAAAGTCAAAGCCACAAATGTAGCAGATACTACCTTGGCAGTACTTTTCAGATAGTGCCACATTTTCATATAATATAATAAAGGGCAAAATAAGTATTAGTATAAGTACTAGAGCCCTGAATCTGTGCTCCACATTTCTAAGGAAACTTATAAATTAATTGTTGACGTCCTAAGATTGATGCCTCTAGCGTCGCTAAAAATAACCTTGGTTACGCAGCTTCGGTCCAAGTTTTCGCTCCATTTTTGTCCTTTTCTCACCCCTGTGGCGAAAATACTTGAGAATTTTGATGAGAACTTGATTTGCCAAACACACCTCCTGTTGCAAAGTCAATCATTAACAGAGTGCATACCTGCGGTCAACCTTCAGTACCAAAATAATCACTTATTAGCAGGAACCAACTCTGTTGCCATGGGGGGGTTGAGTTAGTGCCTAGTGATCCCGAGTTTCATGAGATTATTAAGTGATGAGAAAAGTATTTAAGTGGTCAAAAAACGCAACTACCAAAAATGGAAGTGTTACAGTGCTAGCTGTGTACAGGGGTTAGAGTTCTTTGTTCTCTGAAGAGAAGAGAAAAGAGAGGAACAAGACGGTATGAACTTCCAGCAGCAGTTACACTGTTACACTCCTCAGTGATAGATACATCAGTAAATCAAACACATTTGATAATGAATGAAAAACATAATTAGGGATTTTTACCTAATTAATTACAACTAAATTTGTTAATGTGTCCACTAATGAGGTTTAACCCTGTAAAACCTGACACAAATTGGAACTAAAAAAATTACAAATTAAAATAAAAAAAAACAAAAATTATTTTTTCTCTTTTTTTATCATTTTTTGTTAATGTGTCCACTAACGAGGTTTAACCCTGTAAAATCTGACACAAATTGGAACTAAAAAAAAATTACAAAATTAAAATAAAAAAATAACAATTATTTTTTCTCTTTTTTTATCATTTTAGATTTTTTGGCAACTTTTTTTGCTCACAACAATGTTCACTTGTGTAACAAATATAATACAAAATGTTTTATGGGTTTATGGGTAAAGTACTAAAGAAAGAAATTAGATTTACTAACATTGATTTACATTTATTATTCTTTAGCGTTTTTTTTTCATTTATTATTCTTTGCATTTCAAATAGATCATGTGATTATTTGCATGATAATTTTGAAATCCTGCATATGAAAAATCCTAAATCCCACAAAAGTACTTAAATGTTTAGAGAAAGCTCAGCTCTGTGGTCTCATTACCAAACAAGCTGAGACTCAGAGCCTAGTTTATCCCAGGGACTGATTGACAGTCTGGTAAACCAAGGCTGAAAAAAAAAAAAAAAGTGATGAAAAGAGTGTGATGAAGGAAGTGCGAGCCAGAAACAGAACAATGATGCAGCTCCTGTTACACAGTAAACATACAGGGCAGGTCCAGACTTGTACAAGTGAACTTACAATCTGTCTTTCAGTGATGAGTGTTTACATATCCTCGACTCACTGGTCTTTTTGCATATGTCAGTGTGATTTAAACACATGAGGTTGTAAAAGCACCATTTGACCATGGAGCCTCACTGCCCCTTCATTAGTGGTTTATTGTTACTCTATGCAGTTGGACTGAAATTTGCATTTTTACAATTTATCCTCAGGTGATGGAAACATGGCTGCCCTTGGGAGCATGTAGGGCAAACATGTTTTTTTAATGTTTTTATAGTTGGCCCTTTTTTATAATAATTATAATAATTAAACAATATTTGAAATTACACAGCATCAGTAATTGGTACAGTGCAGCAGAAATCACTCAATGTCAGCATCAACTAGCTTAGAGTGTGACCAGACCTCACCTTAAAAATCCATCCATCCACCCATCCATCCAACCTTAAAAATCCATCCATCCACCCACCCATCCATCCATCCATTCATCCATTTATCCATCCATCCATCCATCCATGTACGGTCTGGTTGGTTTTCAACATTCAACAGCACTGATGATATTCCTGTAAATGATAACAATTATGACTTCCGTTAAGAAGTGGATTTTCTTCAAATATATTTGATTCATTTGAATGGTACAAATACGTTTCTTGTCAGACAAAGAGATTAAAGTTAAGGAGAAATTACAAAAAGGAAGCCAAAAATATATATATATATATATAGGCGTGAAGTAAATGGACTCCAGACTGGGAGCAGAACAGATGCTGCTGACAGCACTGCCCTGGTCATTGTGCAGCCGGGTCACGAGCGAGCGTCTGCCAGGGTCTGTCAGAAACTGGCTGCCACACTGATCTGCACTGCTGTCTTTGTTACAGCCCAAAGGTCTCGTGGCAGAGTAAAAAGCCCTTCATGCTTTATGGGTAATCCATAAGACAGAGTTTTACACAGTCATCTGCCTTTGGCTAGTCCTGGCAGACAGATAATAAGATTTATTTTGGCTCTTGCTTTTTCTTCCACTATGGGTTTGAGGAACCATTTATCTCTGACTTTAGTTCTGCCTGTGCTCTTTTATCAAACTGACCAAAGGTCCGGCAGTGTACGAACTTTCACCTTTCTCTATCCTTAATGCTGATAATCTTTTTTTTAAGGGCAGCAAAAAAAAAAAACTGTCCAACGCCTACTGCTCTGAAATTAAATAATACATTTAGGAGATGGACAAGTAGAATTTACACATGCTTTCTTTGACACAAGCAGCAGAAAAACAATGATGTTCATGTCGTGGACGCCAAAACAAAACAAACAAAAATTTGGCACAATTGCTCAGTCTCCAAGTCGCCACGCTAATTAAATCTTAGGTCACAGCAGATAAATGTTGACCAAAATATTTAAAAATGAGCTCAAGAATAAACACCACAATATTTTAAAGTGAGCAACAAAAGAAAAGCTGCAGAAGCAATATAAGACAGAAGACAACGCCAAACAACAACAATGAAGCCAAAACATCCGCCTAGAAATTGCTAGTTAGTCAGAGGTTAGCCATGATAATGTGTAAAAGTCTCCGAAATATAATTATTTTTACCGCAAATATCAGAAAATGGTCTTTATATATTATAAACAAATCCACTAAAAGACATTCTTGGACACAGGGGACCCAACAAAAGTCCCTGAGCCATACTTTGGATATGTCTTTTTTTGCTTGTTGTTTTTTCTAACGTATTTAATGTAATTCAAAAAAGATTCAATTTTTTATTTTTTATATTTTGAAGCTATAACTTTGTCAGAATACAGCGACTGTCATGACTTGGACTTTGGACGATTGCACTTAATTTGTCAAGGTTAAACCACCCTGATTTTAAAAGAAGATGTGTCTGTGTTGTGGTGACACAGCACAAAGGTTCAGACATCTCTGTGTGGAATGCAGGAAGAATGTTCTAAGTAAATTATTAATAAGAAAGGAAAAATAATTTGGTGTCGGCAGTGACGGCCGAGACGTATCAGCATGTGAGGAATCCAGTCTTGGGGGGAAACATAACATCATCGGACGTGCTCTGCGTGATTCTGCCGTAAAGGTTCAGTTAAAAACAAATTCCAACACCCACACCCCACCCCACGCCCGTGGGCAGAATCAGGAAGTAAAGTCCAGAATGTGGGAGTAAAATCCTGCCTTAACCCAAGCAGAGACTGGATGACTCAAGTACTTGAAGAGTGAAGTCACAGTTCCATGGTATGTGGGGTTTAACATCGTCACTTACATTGGTTCACACCAACCGACAGTCATTAATGTGTGCATAAACACTGACCCCTGCTGGTGACACCATTGACCATCACTACATTCCTGTCTTAGCAACAACCTCAGTGTCAGGTGTCGGTCCATATTTCCAGGTGTAAACAAGACAAATGTCCAACTCCATATTTCTTCCACTCATTTTATACTGCTTCTGTAGTTTGGGGCAGTTCCCATCAGTCAACAAGTGAGGGCGATGTACTCTCTGGACAGTTTGCCAATTCATCACACGGCCACATATAGAGACAAACAAGCGCTCAACTCACACTCACACCTAAAGTGTCCAAAAAAAAAAAACAACTCATATTTTAGTTTTGGTTTGTGGGAGTAAAAACAGAGAAACTAGAAAAAAAATATTTTTTATTTAACCAACAAAATGGGAATTTTGTTGCTGTAAGACAAGAGTCATGTGAACCAAGTCCACCATGTATTAACCAGAAATTAATGGGATTTGTTTCAAATGTTTTGTCCATTTATCCATTCTGTATGGTTTACTTTATGCTGATGTTTAATTTGGCAGGACCAGAGGAGCTGCATCACTACAATATGATATATGTAAAGATATATGTTGTAAACTTTTTGCCGATATCCGATATGTCGATATTGTCCAAACACTTAATTTGTGATTCCGATATCAACTAATACCGATATATTCCTGCTAATATTTATTAATTTATCTGTACAAACCACTGTATGAGTATGAGATTAATTATATGAGCTGCAATGCTGCCACCTAGTGACTTTTACTTTAACCTACAGCCGTTTTCCCCAAAACTATTTTTAGGGCACACATTATTTGGTGAAACCCAGGCATCAGGTTTTCATTATATATATATATATATATTACATAATATGCTAATATCAGGCTGATAATATCGGTCGGCTGATATTATCGGACATCCTTAATCTCGTATCTATTACTTATTAATAGAACAGGTCGCTGCTTTACCTGTCAATCACAGAGTTGACAACTAATCACTTACTTCTGTCATGTATCTGTATTAAATACTGTACTGTAGGGCTCAAAGAAGAACATATGTAGTACACTTTATGACCACCAGGTGTGCTGTATTCATATGTGGTTACAGTTCAAGGGCTGCAAGAAGGCATTCTCTCGACTAGAAAACCTAAAGATCCACCTGCGAAGTCACACGGGGGAGAAACCGTACCTGTGTCAGCACCCAGGATGCAACAAGGCTTTCAGCAACTCCAGTGACAGAGCAAAGCACCAGCGCACCCACCTGGACACAGTGAGTAAAGCAGTGGTCCCCCTCCCTGCCCCCTGTGTGTAGCGGACTATTGTGAAGCCTGTGCTTCATTTTCCTGCTCTGTGTCTGTGAACTGTACGTAGAAGCCGTACGCCTGTCAGGTGCCCACCTGTGCCAAGCGTTACACTGATCCCAGCTCCTTGAGGAAACACGTCAAAACACATTCATCAAAAGAACGACAGTTGAGGAAAAAGGTACGACAAAGAAAACTGTCCTTTTCATTTTACCTTACAGGTTATTTGACTCTTTTATGGTTTATTTCTATATCAATTGTCAGTGCTGGATTTCAGTGGTGTGTTTTGACAAGAATTTCATGATAAAATACGTGTCACAATACGGGGCACTAAGGCGATATTTTGCTATATATTGCGATAGTAAAGGCATGACGATATATTTTTCGTTATCTAAAACTGGAACAGAGGGATCTACTTTTAGGCATGACGATATATTTTTCGTTATCAGGTGACTAAAACTGGAACAGAGGGATCTACTTTTTTAATTGCTAGAGAAGAAATAAAAGCAAAATAAAACGGACCAATACCATCGCATTTAATTGTTGATTAAAAAAAATATCGATACAGTGTCGTGAGACAAAATAACGCAATATTTCAACTTAATAATATTTTATTCACAAGTCAAAGAAGTATGTGAACGGCAACTGTATTTAAGGAAATTAAAGCTCATTTCCATTTAACTTATTGCTGTATGTCATCTGCACGTTCCCTGTTCATTGTCAGTGTTAATTGGAAATATTAGTCATTTATTACTATTATATATATAATATAATATTATCATTATTATTTGAAAAAGAAATAAGAAAATGTGAGAAATAATCACAGCTGTACGCCTCCATTTGTCCTCTCACTAAAAACATAATGTTGTCTTTCCTTCGATATAAACATTACAGTGAAATGTCACAACTGTTACAACAGTAAATTAAAAGATTAAAAAGTAAGATTAAAAGTAATAAAATTCTAGAAGAATCCAGTTCATTTCTTAATAAAACTCTGCCGTTATTCATAGCGCAAATGGTATTTTCAAAAGTCGTCTCAGCTGTCTGTCTTTGTGTTGTTACAGATATTTTCACTGGAAAACACAGGTTTTATAATGTGCTCTCCATTACACCCTCGCTGCTTAATTGCGTACAGAAAAAGTAATTAACCCTAATTGACCACCATCTTGGTGTAAAGGCGGCGGATTAAAATACCCAGCAGCTGCCTGCTGTATCAGACCCAGTCTAAAAAACACAGAGTGGATAATGAGTATTTTCGACACACATTTTCTCTGACACTTAATTCAACTTCGTTAAGAACTGTCTTGTTGTGACACCTCGGCGTTGCAGCGTTTGCGACACCGTATGTGATTCTTGCTCTTTCGCTCTGACTGAGGGTTATGTCACCATAGATACAGACAAAGAAGGTGGGAGGAACTAAAATAAGTGACATTTTTACAAAGTCTCCCCCGCACGAGAAGCTGTATTCATCAAAAACTCAAAGAACAATTATTTAGTGTTAGCTGATTTTCTTCAAGGCGGAGTGCAGAGTGGAGGTGAAGCCACAAAAACCAATCATTACAATTAATCTTACTGCATTTCTGTAAAAACAGTAGAGCAAAAAAACAATGTTATTTTTTTTTCAACTGTTGCACTGAATTATATTTGAATCATCTTAAGAATGAAAATGCAGAAATCTCCCTCGGTTTCCTGACTGTTCCATTTACTACATTCCAGCTGAAATCGACCACCGACGTGACCCAGGACTCTCTCACAGACTGCCTGACCATCCACCCACTGCAGCCCAGCTCCTTCTCTCCTCTGTCTAAGGTCGACAGCGCTCTGAACTCGTCCCCTGCCGCAACGTTCGACTCGTTCTCAGGTGCAGTAGGCCTGAGTGCCGGCTTCTTCTGCGTCCGTCACATTGGTGTAAAATTCAGATCAACTAAAAACCCGTACAGTCGCCGTCTTCTTCAGTCAGACTGTCGTACATAAAAGGCTCGTACTGAACTGAACTGTCTGCTCCACAGCTGCTCCACAGGCACGAGGATCTCCCTGTAATCCTCACCTGGCTCTGCTCTGCTCCTTACAACATAATTTCAGGTATGAAGAATTTCAAAGTCTTTGTCATGAATCTGAGGCTCTCATATATGTTGACATGGATTTGTTTAACAGGCTTTTGAAGGCCATTCGGTCCTACTTAGTGTTATCTATATACACACATATATACAGTGTATAGAAATATATATACATAGAAATATATATACAGTATATAGAACATACAGCGGAGCCCCAGAAATATACTAATAACCCTCCAACCCCATCTAAACATCAAAAACATAGACATAAACAAATATGTTGATAATATAAAATATTAATAATTAAGAAAACATTTTATATTATTGTTATAAAAATGGGTAAAATAACCCAGTGAGGGACAGTGAACGTGACAGCGCCACAGTGTGGAGTGAAAAACTGGAGCTGGGTTGAGCACTCGTAACTAAATATTTCCTCGTATCAGGAGCAAAATCTTGGAATAATCAGATTTCGGGAATCTCGTATCTAGGGTGTCCGCTGTATATACATACACATATAAAATAAATGTATATAAGTATATGTGTGTACTGTATATAATTGTATATTTATGTCTTTATATACATATATAAGTTATTATATACTATATATAGATACAAGAATTCACATCGTCCATGTTTGGTACACTTTAAAACTTTAAAAAGCTCATCACCATGGAGAAACAAAATAACTTTAAAAAGCTCATCACCATGGAGATACATGTAGAGGTGGAACAATTACTGTGAGTAAATGTCTAGTTTGATACTTTTAATTATTCCTCAGGTAGACATACACAGTGGTGTGCTTCCATTCAGTGAGATGATGAAGTTCAACTGTGAGGCTGTTTTTGTTGGATCACGTCTTGACTTCCTGTCATCTTACTGTACCATGATTACAGAACCGGTTCAGCCTTAAACCTCGGAGCTTTATCGTGTTAAGTCCACAGTAAATCTTCCTTAGCTGTTCAATAACTGTCATGTTCAAACACAGCACCGTGTGGATCACCATTAAAACCCAACTTTTCTTTAACATAAATCACCCAAACAAACAAAAGTGGCAAAATCCTTCAGACGTATTCACTCGATACCGTGTCAAATGAGACCAAACGACTGATCGCATTAACAACCAAACTGCACCTCAACGACTCACAGAAATTCAACCAAGCTTGTAAATTTCTTGCACTTTTCCAAGGCTTGTTTTTTTTCCTGTTTTTGTTTTTGGCCTCCCTCCTACAGTAGCTGCTCCTCGTGGACTTGACTCCTTAATATTCATGCCGTACAGATTTGTTTTGCGAGACACTACATCTTTGCGATTACTTTATCAGACTTTATCCGCAGCTCAAATCCCATCGCTGCATCCCATCATCAGATGGTCCATAGAAACACATTTTGAATCGATAATTTATGGGATCTGACATTATTGATCTGATGTTCCAGTATGTTACTGTGTTAGCTGTGGTTTGGCTACATGGCTGCACACAAGTGTGGGAGGATGGGTAAGGCCCATTTCACCCTATTGCCCCGGTCAACCCTGAGGAAAATATGCCTTCATTCTTCCACTCCAAAGACTGTGATAAAGGATTTGTGCTGTTCTGAGCAGCCAGATGCTGCCGGTTCCCCGACTGCCTCTGATTGTTCTCCTATCAGCAGTAGGCCACAGCGCTCACTGCAGGATCCTGAGTAGACAATTGGGCTGTGAAAAGCAGACTTGGCCTTGCCTCATTGGTCTCGCCCGCTGGTATTAATGGCTGCTATAGGCGCTGACAAGAGCAGCTAAAGAATCCAATAAGTGAATAAAATCCGAAAATACCATTGAAGGAGGTGGAAGAGGAGAGAGACGGGCGTAATTATGATTTTTTTTTTTTTCGATGTGAAATCGATTTGGAAATCCTTGTTGATGTTTCATTCTCTGGAAATCCCTTTGGGTTCCCATTCTCTGTTTGACAGCGAGCGTCGGTTCCTTTAATATAGCTGTTATTGGACATTGGAATGTGTTAGTTGGTCAGAACTCTCAGCAGGGGTCTCGGATGTCTTCACCCTTCAACAATATTTGATTCGATGTGAGCCAACAATGAAAATCCGTCTTATTTGATCCTGTCTAATACACGTAGTAGTGGAAAATATATTTCCTTGAGAGCCAATAATTTTAAGTATAAAGTATTTTATAAAATATATTTCCTTGAGAGACAATAATTTTAAGTATAAAGTATTTTATCACGATTATTTAACACAAGGCAAAGAGAGTACGCTGCCGCCACAAATGCGCAAAAATAGTTTTTTTTATTATTATTTTAACACTATCATTTCTGTAATGTTTTACTTGAATATCTTTGAAATTATTTATTACTTATTGTGATAAAAAATGCCAGATAAGATTTATCCGAGGACCAGATGCGGTCAGCAAAAGAGCCACATCTGGCTCGCGAGCCACAGGTTCCCGACGTCTATAAATGCTACTGCTACGTCCTAACTTTGCACGCAGCGTCGGCCACAGTCCTCCTCGTGGTTGATGATAAAACTGAGGTCAAACTGGAGCTCAGTTAACACGATGTTTTGGTTAAAATTTAACAGTAAATTCGGCTCCAGTTAAAGGTTGATTCATTAATCGATCGTTCGCAGCTACAGTCATGTCTACACTGAGTAATGGCCTTTAAAAACCGCCAGTTATTTGTTCCATACTGTGTTTCAAAAGAATTGAACATAAAAGAACCATGGGCTCAAAAAGTCAAGTGAAGGAATCATCTCTTATCACTACTTAAAATGTAATTAATTTAATTTCAGAATATTAGGAGTCAAATAATCTCAAGGATGTGACTCACAAGAATTTGATATTTTCATCCAATTTCTTAAAAAAATAAAGTTGAAGGAGTTGAGTTTTTTTTTTCCGAGGACATCACGTTATTTTTAATTAAAGTACAAATGTCTGTTTCTTCAAAGTGACAGCTCTTTACACTCACATGTGACAATTTAAAGCGTCAATCCATGAATCTAAAATTAGAAACATCCATTAGTCAATTTAACGGATGTGGTGACAGATGTGTGCTGTAATTAAACCAACAAAAAGGTGTCAGAAACACGGTCGCAGTTTCTGGTTTTAACATAAGGAACGTGGTGATTTGCTTGGCTCCAATGTCTCCTTTGTTATAAAAAAATGTTTTTAATTCTCAACAAGTCAAAATAAAGGATAAAAATTACATTTTCTATCATACTTTTAATTTACAGATAATGTTTTCTTCATGTGATGTTTCACCAGTTTCTTGAGGACCTCTTAAACTCATCTTAACAGAGACGTAAAGAACACCAATATATTCAGGTCGATTTGCTCGTGTAGTATTTTAAAATACCTGTTCATGCTGCCTTAGTGTCTGCTTTAATTAAATCTAGTCGTTAGAATGATGTGACTTTTACACCTCTATCAAAGAAGATAATAACATTGAGTTCCATGTCTAAAACAAAGGCTGTCGTGTATTAACACTGTCTGTTTCAGAGGATGAAAAAAAAAAGAAATCTCTGCCGATTGTTTCGCCTCCATAGAAGAGTGTTTTAATTCACTCTGAAATATTTCAGGTTTGTTGATCCTTCCCCTCACCAGCTCTTCCCCGAGGACACACGCAGGCCTTGCTCTTCCACCTGCCACCCTCACCCTCCCTCTGGGACAACCCTTCACAACAACCACGACCTGAAGCAGCCCAGCCGGCCTCCTGATCTGGCTGATCACACTCCAGGTTGGTTTTTTTTTATTATTATTATAGCTGCATTTTTATTGTTTGTGAAAATACTCGCCGGTGGATATAAATACAGTTGTGCTGAAGGGGGAAGTTTGTAGTGCAAGTTTCGCATCTGAGCCTATTAGCAAATGTGTGGGCGTCTTGACAGTCTGCTTGAGCAGATTTTCTCACATGCACATTAATTGTGCAGTACATAGTTTTAAGATGTGAAGCAGATGGCCGCTGGTTTTTTTCTAGTTGAGACAAAGTAAGGCATCGTCGTTCTGTGCACCTTTAAATACACATCACCTCTACTCCTCCCTCAAGACTTGACAGCCACAGCCATGTTGACGGGGTCTTCACAGAGAGTTTCCGCCAAGTTGATAATAAAAGGCGTGAGAGAAGATATAAATATCATTAAAGCCATAAACCTACGGACATTTATAGAATTGTTTCCAGGGAGTGGGAACAAAATCTAGAATGATTTCGCTGTCTCTCCTGCAGATCTCTCACAGCAGGTGAAGATGCTCTACGCCCCTCCACCCTACGGTGGGGCCACAGCACAGACCGGTTCCTGTCACCTGATGCAAACCGATGCTTTTGGTGACAGCCTCGCTGCAACAGTCAATAATCCCACAGAGGGAGCTGCAACATACGGTGTTCACCCCTGCATTACAGGTAATAAAAAGTATAATCTAAATATGAATAAAAAACAAACCTTATTGCCAATGAATTTAGCATAATGCATATATGTATATATGCATATATGTATATATACATATATATATATATACAGTATATATTTATATATGTGTGTGTGTGTGTCACTGCAGAGCTTGAAATCAGCACCCAACCACATGAAGCGTCTCCTAATGAAGACTTACAGGGAGAGGATTTCTTCATGGTGACTGGTCACTTCACAGACCGGAGTCCACACATTTATACAGATGATTAATATCACTGAGAGTCAAAATGTGCGTTATGGCATTTTTTTTATTTTTTATTTTTTTTTTGCACACCCCAGAGTCTCACAGTTTCACTGAAACCAAGAATGGATCAGCTTTACTTTTATTACTTAGCACAATAAAATCTGAGATCCACCTGAGATGCTGCCTGTAGGGTTATGTCTTCACTTCAATCTGTGTAAATGTACGACCGTCTGACTCATCGCCGCTGACTTGAAAAGTTTTATGTCATTTTGTGAGACCGACAACAGTCCAATCAATGTATGCAAAGACTCACTTGTTTCTTTCTTCCCTCAGACTTTTGACCTTGTAACCATAGTAACAAGATGTTAATACCATGTTTCAATGCAACGTTCATAGCCTGACTGTACAGTAGAAGAAATCATGTGTCTAATAGAATGAAAACAGTTCATAAACCACAAAAGTTTCTGAAGTAGTGAAAGTGTCTGTGTAACTGTAGCTCAAGAACAGATAATGATGGAGTCTGGAGGTTATTTACCTTTCACAGTGTCATGACTACTCAAATTCACTGGGACAAATTTTAGAAGCTTGGCAGAAAAACAACCTCTTAGCAAACAAAGATGCTAATACTAAGAAAAACAAATAAATGTCATGAGATATTACATATTAGCCAAAGGATAACCCAAAACTAGCATAGTATTAGCTTAAAGTTTGGCAAAGTAGCATAAGCTATGCTAAATAGATAGCCCAACATTACTGAAAAAGGTTGGTTAAAATTAAAGCCAAATATAAAAACAAAATTGAAACTGTCGAAAGTTAAGAAAAAACAGATTTGAGGGAATGACTAAAAGTAAATCAAAGGTTAGCTTACAAAAAAGAAGCTAACTGCGATATAACTATAAAGGAGCTAAACCATAAGGAAGTCATGTAGAAAATATCTGAATAATAAAGGTTTCCACATAAATACTGCAATCATTAAGACAACATTTAAATACGACATTTGCAACAAGCCAAAAATATCCGTTACACCCAGCTTCAATTAAAAAATGATGGAACAAACTGAATCCATTTTAGTAACTTTAATTTTCAAAGTGCGAGACAGATAAATGTCAAGGTCTGTTTTTTTCAATACTGCAGAAAAAGTAATAAAGACGACAGGATTCGACTCGAAAAGATCCAGATGAGAGTTTAGTTCAGGAGATACATTTATTTTACCTCTGAATTGAATGGAGGCTAAGATAAACTGATGGACTGTAGTGATTGGGTTAACAATGACCCAGAGGGAGGGGATATAATGTTTGGCAGAACATTTGTTTAGGCAAAATACTTTTTGTTTTATATACTGGTCAACATTTGTACATATGTGGGATCAACTATCTCTATGCAGTTTGTTTTTATCCAAGAAAAGAAAAATGAAGTTTTTATTAAAAATACCATACATTGTGGTAAAAAAAATAAAAATAAAATCACTTCTCTTCTGAAGGTAGCAGGCTCATTAAGATCATGGTAAATTAGCAGCCACAGCTGTGCGTGCCAGTGGAGTATATTACACATCCAGGGGGCACTGCATTATTTTATTTTTTTTAATTAAAAGGACAAACTGTTTTACTTGAATATAATTCCTTTTGCAAAAGACTGTCATGCTTCAGACGGGTTTTGCTAGTTGCCTAGCAACAACAACAGCATTTTCGAAAAAAGCATCTGTCTAATACAGCTAACCAAAAAAAAAAATCTGCTCAGTGGGCACAGGTGGTTGTTTGGAATTTATGACATTCGCAAACCTCCCAACAATGTGGGTTTTGTTTTCGTTCCCTCTTCCCAATTTTGTTGTGGCGCACGTGTGTCAAAAAGGTGAAAGCAACCAAATGTTGCAGCTGTACTAAATGTTTTCATCTTTTTTAAGTACGTGGGATGTCAACTATTAATGTCCTTTACTCTTCACAACATGATACCAAAGGTTATGATTCGGTTTCAGGCAAAAAGAGAGATTGTTATCAAGTTTTAGTTCTAATTACATCACTGTCTGGTGTTAAAACAAGAGGAGGAAAAAAAAAACAATTTAAATGATTTTTGCGTAGTTCACAGCTGATTGTGTACAATTTATTTTACGGATAAAAATATCCAGTTTCCATTCCATATAAAGCATTTTAAAAACTAAGGAGTGGCATAAAACACAAAGAACACACTCCCCACAATGGAAAATTGAGCTGTTGTAAATTTCTTTTTTCTCTCTCTCTCTCTCTCTCAAACACAACAACCAAAAACAAACTTGGAGCAGGCCACGTCACAGTGGATGTTACTGACTGACTGACACAAGGCCCTGACTTTATTCTCAAAGTAGTCCATTCCTGTGCAGGACTCTAATCGGTGTCTACTGGAGTCTTGCAGTTATCCCAAGGTCCTTAGAAACACTTCTCTCTTAATACAAAGTATTTGGGCCGGAGTGAGGACGGGGATACAATTGTGAGAGGAAAAAAGTCATTATTTTACGAGAATAAAGTTGTAAATATGTGACCAAAAAATTGTAGATTTGAAGGACTAAACTTGTGGAATTGTGAGAAAAAAGTCAAGGGTTAAATGTTTAAAGTTTAGAATAAAGTTGAGAGTTTAGGTGACTTTAGAAAGAGAGCAGACAGGATTAATCAAAATGACACTGAAAAGATTGCTCAGATACGTTTGTCTATACCAAGAAATAGAAAGAAATATGCATGAACAATTCTTTTTTTAAACTACAATGTTGTGTTTCTCACTTTCTGGTTTTAAGAGCACCGATAATGATTTACTTCAAATAAAGTAGCGTAGCTCTTTAACATTATAACATTTTATACCGTGGTATATCGTGTTTTATTGTGTTTTGTGGGGACTCTGGTAGCCTATGTAAATTCAATGTGCATGTGTACACTCATGGCAGCGTCCGTTAATCATTTCCATTACCTGGATAAATCGTACTACTTTGCTGGTAAACAAAGTGCAAACTATATCTTAAATTACCGATTGGGAGCTTATTTGTCTTTAACGATGTTCTAAGGACACAATTGGACACGGAAAAACCCTTACGTATTTGAAAGCGATTTTAAATTGACTTAATACCAGTGTTTGTTTATGATTATAATGATAATACTAAGGTTTGGCCGCTTTAATCTCCTCCCACCTGCCTGATAAGGCTGCGCGCTGCCGCTGAGTAGTTTTATAGCAACTGTTGCCCGGTGAAGCAGCGCCATAGTCACCGTAGTCCTGGCGACTGTAACCCACCAACAACAACCTCTCGCTCCATCATTCCCACCTCCTCCATCATCCTCATCTTCATCCACCAGTCCACAGCGCAGGTTTGAACTCACTCTTTACTATTCTTTTCGCCGGAATGCAGGCCATCTTTTTCTGCTTTTACCCAGAATGACTGAGGCTGGTTAATGCCGAGTGTGTACGCTGAGGCTGAGTAAAGGCTCGATGAGAAGAGCTGCGGTAGTTTCGCTAGCGAGGGTGTTTCTTTGTAACGTGTTAGCCTGCTCGGCTAACGTTCACCCAGGGGTGTTTGAGCTCCATAAAGAGAGTATAGTCTATTTTTCTTAATACGTGCGTATGTTTTTAGAAAAAGATCACAATCGCTGTATGTATCGCGAGAAAGGTGGTTCCTAGTTAAAACTCAGTGAGTTGAAGCCTAGAGCCAGGCTAGCCTCTGATGCTAACTGCTCAGCTGCAGCTGGAGCAGGTGTCTGTTGTTGCTAGGTTGCTAACGCCACAGTGCCTGTTGGTCTCTCTATCGCTCTCCTCGCCACGGTTCACACCATTGTTATGATCACACTTGTATTTAGTAATAGTGCCGTTTAAAAAAAAACCTTTTCGGCGAACATACAACGAGGACGACGTCGAACAGCAGTTAGAAAGTGCTGTTGTGTTAGCGTTTCCCTGCACTAACTGCTTTTGACAATAGCTAAGCCATTACTTTCCCTTTTGTCTTAGCCTCGCTCTTAGCCCTTACTCTTTGTGACATCGCATTGCTGTGATGAGAAAACTGATAACAAAGAACGTCTCAGTATTGCACATGTGAAGGGAAACGAAAGCAACACCTGTCCGATGCAAATTAAAAAGCCCCGTAGCGTCGGGATCCATCATTATCCCGATGCATTTCATTATTTCTGAGAACACTCGCTCTGTGGCCGCCCGCTCTGTATTTATACAGGAACACAGTGAAGGATTTGATCAGTGATCAGAGAACTTGTGATGAGTATTCAGTCCAGCAGTACATGGTTAAGGAGTGTTAAAACATATTTTGGTAGGATTTTGATTTGACCAACTGTAATTGGGTTTTAGCATCATATGAACAATTGTTTAAAATATTTTTAATTTAAAAAGTTTTATACTTTGTTTTTGCTCAAGAGTTGTTTTAGTTGAAACCTGTTTTTTTTTTATGCAGAATCACTTGGTTTATTCTTGGGTCCGCTGGGTATAGTTGTACAGCTGTGACAAGGCCTTTTGGGAGAGAACAGGTGTGTGTGTGTGTGTGTTTGTGTACGCACACACTATCTTTGTTAAACATCTTCTTGCACTGCATTGTTCTTAGGTCATTCTGTTATGCCTCTCCCCCCCCATTAAAACCTTGTAATTTAGTTGACAACAAATCTTTTTACTAGATTTATTTTCATTAATTTTAGTTTTTCCCAAAAATAAGACCGATCTCTCCTAGCTTGTCACACATAGACAACTTATGTTGTTTGTTTTGTTTTGTTGTTTTTTGTTTTGTTTTTGTTTTTTGCATTATACTGAAATACTGTTCAATTATTAAATTGTCTGAATAATGGACTAGGGAAATGAAATTTGGTTGCATCATAATGATTATTAAATTCATTTTTAACATTTGTAAACAAACATTTTTATATAAAAAAATGACCCTATCATAAATAGATATGGCATCATAATGACAGTGGTAACATAATGACGATACATCTTACAATAATTGTCGTAGATAAGTAATTGAGTCACCTTGTTTTTTTTGGTCTATAATACTCCCGATTTGGCAATATTATACCTCAAAGCAATATTTCAGATTCTAGAAAAAAATTAACTTTGTCTGATGACAATCAGAGAACTAGTCAATACTTAAAGAAACCAAACAGAATGTCTAGTTGGCTAGAAAAGTAATTACTTGTTTGGAGAAAGAATTGCAGTTAACAATTAGTGGGGCACAAGTTCAGTTCAACAAATTAAAGTCACAACTAAGTCTTGAAAATGAGAGCTGCATGAGCTTGTTTGGGTTTGGATAGTTTAGGACCACTCGTCCTAGCAGTGGCTGAAACCGTGCCCTAATTTAAAAAAAACTTCCTTATTCCAGTTCTTGGTGAACGAATTATGCATGGGCATAAACATGGGTATGGTTATGATCAGAATGTCCAGGTCAGGCTGGATCAATAAACAAATATCAGTCCAAACTGACATGTGCAGGTGAGTGCAGGATAGATTGTGAGTTTTGATTACCCTCAATCTTGATTATCTGAGGATTACTTTAATGTGGCTGTTCCATTAGTTCATTATAATTTTGTCATCTACAATTCCCTTGAAGACCTTCAGTGGATAAACAAAATGACTGACAGCTTTAAAGCAAATCAAACTAATTAGTTTATAAAAAGATTGGAGTCACAGAATGGGTAACACACACACACACACACACACACTGCATATGCAACAGGATGTTGGAAACTGCTAGTTATCAGCTCATGTTACCACTTACCTGTAGTCCAGTGAGCCAGAAATAGTACCGTGCCACCTGCTGCCTAGATCCTGTTGCATTTCCAATCACTTAAAGAGGGACTGATTAATTCAATTATTCAGGCATCCATTTTCATGGATTACAGCAGAACGGAACATGTTTGGTCCGTAATGTATGTTGTTAAGGACAGGGGAGATTTTTATTTGTTTTGTTGTTTTTTTTTGGGCACAGCAAGAGTTGATTAGAGTGATCAGATTTTGACATCACCTTACAAACGTTAAGTGGTTAATGCTTGTGACAGTCCGAAAACAACAGTATGTACAATAAATCAATGCAACTTTCTTTTTTTTTTAAACAGCTAAATATGTCTTCACCAGTGAAGGGTCCCATATAATTTAAGATTAAACGGCCAACAGTAGTTTGCATACCCTTTACATAAACCTCAGGTATGACTTGCAATGGCACCTGTCCCTTTGCTACTCCCATCATGCCTTGGGTGTAAATAATCCAAAACAGTGATGCATTGCTGCATGTATACTTGTCATGCTTGTTCACCTGCTCATATTTCTGTACTTGGTGTACTAGCGCCACCTTTTATCAGACGTGATCGGTGGAGTCGTATGACGATTCTTCCACTAACTTTTGACTGTAAACGTAGCTGCGTTTTTTTTCATTTGTTTCAAGCAAGTGGAAACTGGGGAGGAGAGAAAACGAAGGGCAAAATGTTGCCCTCCTCGGTGGCTTTTGTTCCTCTGTGTCTTTGTAGGGCTTGCACTTGCTCAGTGGAGCAAAGCATTTAAGTGGGCCACAAGGGAGTGCCTGAATGGTGAGGCAGGAGGTGTGTTGTCTGTGTCAATGTGTGTGTGTATTTGTGTGTGTGTTTGTGGAGGGGGATGGGGTGAGGCAACGAGAGTGTGTTGTGATGCAGGGGCACTTTTCCTCAATTAAGGTGAGCTCAGATGGGCGCATTAACTTGAACTTTTTTAAAGCACACTGTAGAACAGAAGTGTACAACCTCCATCCTAAAGAGACTGTTGGTGTCGTGGAGCCTTTTATCACCTTGGCAGCCTTAAAAACACACAACCTAACCTTTTGCCTTTACCAGTGGCGGTTTGTTTCTTAGTCAGACCACAGCTTTGTCTGGAAACAGAAGGCTTAGGTCTGACAGTCATAGTATAAGCGTACATCCCCCTCCTCAGCAGTTGAAAATAGTAGTGCTCTTGAAAGCAGATGGTGTTGAGTTAATGAATCTCCGCTCTCTACTTTGTTTAAAGAAGCTGTTTATTCTTCCAGTCTCTCCCTTCTTTATGGAAGACTATCCCTCTATCATCCAGATTGAATCACAAATAAAGCAATAGATTTTATCCTGAGTAAAGTATGATATTGCATGTAAGAAGAAGACTTTCCCTGGAGAGATTTGGAGCTGTTCAGAGACCAGGCTTAATTAACCAAGAGAGGCTTATTCATGGAAACTGTGATGGGTAGGAGGTGGCCTTCCCCTGGAAGGACTGAGTGATGTTAGCCATACTATTATTATCTCACAAACACAGGTTCACCGACAGATTCAGACACGCACTTTATGCTTATCATAAAACTTTCCTTGGTTACCAAGTATTGTAAATAGTTTCCGATGCGCGACAAACTGTAACTTTTTGGTTTAAAACCTAGGAATAAACTTTTACAAAACCCAAAACAATAGAAGTCATTTCTAGTTTTCTAGGCTTAATTACATCCAAGGTAACATAAAACCTGTGAGAGCGTACTCTGACAAAAAGAAAAAGGCAACATCTATTTGACGTCTGTTAAATATTAACCTGTTTTATGGCTGTGAACGTGGAGACTAGTCCATGTGTCACTGAAGCATGAGATGTTTAGTACATTGAGTACTCCTGGGCAGACACAGGCTCAGGTTGATTTGCTTCAAAGAGAGAATCAGCAGCATTGATTTAGCGCAGAACAGCCGGTGAAAACAGTGCATGTTCCTTGTAGGCTTTGATGACTATAATCTCACTCAGGCGTGCATGTCCTTGGAATATCTTAGAAAGAATTTGTAAAATTGTATTGTGTTTATTTGAGCCTCACTGAAAATATTTACAAATGGTTGTCAAATGAAGTTTACAGAAGGATTAAGATTTCATTTCTGTGGTAGGTTTTCTTTCCAGGTTGAGCAATTAAATAATCTGTACATGGGTGTGGGCACATTGATGTATTAAGATAATCATGCTGCTGTTGCTGTTGTTGTTGTTGTTGTTGTTGAGTTATACTAGTTGTTTTGCCAGTTTGACCGGAAAGGTTTACGGTTGTTTTAGATTCAGTTATGTAATTATCCACAGTGAAAGTGCAGAATCTCTGTCTATTCCAGGCGCCATGCAGACCCCGGAAGCAGGCGCTGACTCCACCTCCACTGTCCCTCTTCAGACCACTGTGCCTGTCCAACCTGCGGGCTCCACCCAGCAGGTGCCTGTCCAGCAACAGGTATATTTATCTTTTGACTGTGTACTCGTGTCACAACTTTCCTGCCTTGTCAATATTTCCCAGAGGTTTTTAGTGGCTTAAAAAATAAATTTGAAACTGTTGCACATTTCTTGCCAGGCCCAGACTGTTCAACAGGTTCAGCATGTTTACCCAGCACAGGTGCAGTATGTGGAGGAAAACAGTGGCGTCTACACCAATGGCAACATGTGAGTGAGTCACTCGGCTTCTCAGCTCTACTCTTACACCACTCCACAAATATTGGTGCTGCGTCTGCGCAGCCTGTTCCTTCTCCTCTCGAGTCTCTTCACACTATCATTCATGTCACAACCACATGATGTTGGTGGATGAGCGCGTTTGGGGGGTTTCTTTTCTAAGGCAGGGGTTTGCCACTTGTTGAATTGTGCTCAGTCACCTGAACATGACCAGAAGTAGGTCTGCACAAGTGCCGAGGCTACAACAACGGTCTCTCCTGTTTCGATGGAATGGCTTTGCATACACACTTCACTAACAAGCCCAAGCTGTGTTTGTCCTGCTGTGATCAACACACACACACACAAGTGTCTGTACAGACACGCACTGTAGGGACTTGTGGAAATACTGCAGGCGACTAAATACAAAATCATGAATACACCAATCACAGCCATTCTTTGTATTTCTAAAATCCTTGACATTGCTTGTATTTCAGTGTTCCATTTTTTCAAGGTTTATTAATTAGTTGAAATACTTGACTTCTTTTTGCAGTACTCGAAAATCCTGATGCAAACATGTTTCTTTTGTAGACCTGCTTTTGCAGCGCTCCGAGACTGTTTGTTTGTTCTCTATGTGCATAAAATATAAGTTCAAATTACAAACAGTTCCACAGTTAAACAGTAATTGTTGCCAAAAGAACAGTTTAAGAGAAGGTAAATAATAAAGGTAGCCAGATATCGAGCCAATTTTCCAAAATTGGTTAAACTTCGACAGAAAACAAAATGAAATTTAGTCAATGTAAATAAAGATGGCCATATATAATAATAATTGTATGCTGGTTAAATAGAGAAGTTAACAGGAGCTCAAAAGGTTTCCCATAAAACAAAAACACTTAAACTTAGGCCTTAGGCCCTAGCCTGGAATATCTTAAAGTTAGCCTGGGAAAAAATTAGTCACCAAGTGCAAATGAAAAAAGCCGGAAAAATACCAAATGGTTTGCCTGAAGATATAGAAATCAAGATTACGGAAAGTCCACAGCAATTCAAATAGTTCAAAGTTAGCAGGGAATCAGTGGGTTTGAGGATCCCCTGTTTGATGTTGAAAACAATGCGTTTTCCTTGAGTTTAACAGAACTGCCATCTTCTCTGCTACGCAGAAGGACCTACTCGTACTCAGAGCCACAGCTGTACAGCCAGAACAGTGGTGGAAGCTACTTTGACACACAGGGCAGTTCATCACAAGTGTCCACCGTGGTCACATCTCATGGCATGACCAGCAACGGAGGAGGGGGCGGTGGAGGAATGACCATGGGTCTAGCTGGGGGTCAGGTAATCAGCAGCAGTGCTGGAGGGTACCTCATGGACAACAGTGGACCACACCCTGCTACCCAGACAGCACGAGCCTCCCCTGCCACCGTGAGTACATACGAAAAGATGGTGCCACTGGGTTTTTCCACCTGTCTTCTCCTTCATACTGTCATGTGACTGCTCAACTATCTCACCGGCCTTTTATTCCCTGTAGTCGTCTTTCCTCTTCACATTCACACAGCTGCCATCTGTAGATGATTTAAAGGCTGCGTCTCTGCTACACACTGTCACTAATGTTACTATGAAAGTGCGGGTGTGCAAACACGTCATTCAGTATATCTTTTCAAACTCGCTCTTAATGGCCCGACAGTTTTTTTTTTGTTTTTTTTTAATTGGATGGCCACATTCAGAATTAAAATTACAGTCATAAATCAGTCATCCATGGAGATAAAAAAAAAAGTTATGTTTACAACTACTCTACAACTTGACCTGCAGCTGCCCCGTCTTTCTCCGACAGTCAATATTAATGTGCTCACACATTAAAAAGTTTTGAAGTCAGTCTCTCAACAACACGATCCATGAGTTGAACCACATCCGAAAAGTTAAGGGTTTCACCAATGATTGTGTTCAGCCTCTATTTTCTAATAGAAGACGGGATTTTTTGTCAAACTTAATTTTTAAACCTAGAAATTTATATTAGTTGTTAAATGGTAAACCTTAACAGGTCAGACAATGAGTTAGATAACATTGGTTGATAACATTGAGTGTTAAAGGAGCATAAGTCAGTCTTTCTTCAGAAACATTATTTACTTCACAAAAAATATGTCAATATAAAACAGTGTTTTCCAGCACAGTAATTTAGTTCTGTCTCCAACCACCTTTGATAATAGTATGAGTTAGGAAGTCGGGGTCATATCTGTGCACAAAGTGAAGAGCAGAAGCTGCTGCTGAATGTGAGTGACCTTTGAGCTCTAAGATTGTTTCCTTTTGGTGATGCTATTGGTGAATCTAACAGTGGGGAAGGAATGCTTGTTTTTTTTAATCTTACAACACACACACACACACACACACACAGGGCCTAGATTTCAAATGTTCGACTTTAGCATAGCATCTGGTTCAGTTAATTTTCACTGTTTTTCATCTAAACAATTGTTTTCGTGACAACTATAAGTAGCTTTGCTCTGCTTGGGTTTAGTGGTGCTTGCTTTGGTATCCTGTCTCGATTTTACTTTCTTTGCTAGTGGCGACTAATGTCCTCATCAACTTTTTAGATTTTTAGTTTTTTCTTCTTCTTCTTTCCTAATTTTTTTCCTTTTAATTTCACCTCTTACATTTTGTTGTCCTGTGCTTCGTGGTTTATCAGATTGAAATGGCGATTGAGACGCTCCAAAAATCTGAGGGTTTATCCAGTCAGAGAAGCTCACTGCTCAACAGCCATGTAAGTTGCTTTTATGAACGCCTGCCCCCTGTCTTTCCTTAAATTTTGTTGAGCTCACCTGTTTTTGCTTCTCTCAACTCTCTACATTTTAGTTTGGTGCTCGCAGGGGTTCTCTCGCTTTTCTTTTATTTTTGACTTCTTACTGTTGCTGTAGCTGCTATAGAAATGCCTTAGACGAGCTGTGACGCAGCAGATTGACTCAGAGAATGTCAAGTCTTTTTCTCAGTTTTCCTCACGGGGCAGTGTGAGCGAAACGCCATGTGTCGTGTGTTTCTCTTCTAGCTCCAGTGGCTGTTGGACAATTACGAGACAGCAGAGGGTGTAAGTCTGCCCCGATCCACCCTCTACAATCATTACCTACGGCACTGCCAGGAGCAGAAACTTGACCCTGTAAACGCAGCCTCTTTTGGCAAACTCATCCGCTCTATCTTCATGGGACTCCGTACGAGGCGCCTGGGGACGAGGTCGGCATCATTAGCACCCCGCGTCTTTCTATCTATGTGACCTTTTACCCTTTAACCTCATTTCGTTTTTTTCTTTTTTACTGTAGAGGAAACTCCAAATATCACTACTATGGTATACGTGTAAAACCAGACTCCCCACTCAACAGACTCCAAGAGGACATGCAGTATATGGCTCTGAGACAGCAGCCTGTTCAGCAGAAACAGAGGTGCACGAGACGTACATGAGGAAGAGAGAGAGACGATCTGTAACCATCAGTTTTTACTGATGCTAACGTACACTGTCATTACAGGTTCAAACCTGTGCAGAAGTTCGATGGCAACTCTGGTGATAACTACTCAGGCGGAGGTCAGCACCAGCCCGGTGCAGCAGAGCAAACAGTCATTGCACAGAGCCAGCACCACCAGCAGTTTCTGGGTCAGTTCGAAGTTCTTGTCTCTGTCTGAATTTCTGTATTATTTTCAATAATATTTTCTGTCATATGAACACTTCTTTCTCCCGCTTTAATAAATACAACTTTTTGCCTGCAAACAGATGCATCGAGGGCCCTCCCTGACTTTGTGGAGCTGGACCTGGGACAAACTAATACAGAGAACATCAGTCCAGAGGATGTGAAAGCTCTTCAGGTTCTGTACAGAGAGCACTGTGAGGTGAGATAAGCCCTTCTTTTCATTCTTCCTTGACATTTTCACACAGAGTAAATCCTGCCAATATCGCAGCAGCCAATGATACCATCAAGTCTCAATATACCGTCTTTGTGCCTTTACATTTTCCAATTGATTTGCTTTGGTGCACGAAATTCACCACCAAATAAAACTCCATTCCACTTGAGACTCTCTCAGAGGGAAGATTTCTTTACTCTTGTCAGAAAAAGTTACTTGTTTGTCTTTAATTATAAAAGGTTTTTAGGTATAGACTTTGTATGTTTTTTTCTACAAAATATATGAAAAGGTCGTGAGAGTTTTAGAGTAAAAACAGATTAGTTAAATGTCATGCTGTGACATTTACAAATTTAATTTTCTTTGTATATCTTTGCAAATATCTCGAGGCATCGTGTTATCGACAAAAGTACATTTATCTTTTCTTTACTGTCAGATTCCGCAATTTACATTTGGTCTTGTTTTTTTTTTTTTGTTAAATGACAGTTCAAGTGTAGTACTTGTTCAGAGAATAATATTGAAACTCTATACAAGAACCATTAAAAACAATAGGCCAGGGGTGGCCAACCACTCGAGGCTAATATTTTTACTATGTTACTGCAAAGAGCCATATGACATACATGAGCATGTGAACTGCCCCATCCCTTTAAATAAAATAAAATAAAACTCTCCCACTCCTTTAAAACTTCCTGTGTACATCTTTTGCATGACACGAATTGACTTTTCCCTAAGTGTCAACGCCCATAACACAAACAAAATTTGACATAAACGTGAGAGCTGCATGAAACTGGGCAAAGAGCCCAGGCAAAGAGCCGTTAAAACTTATAACAATAGTTACCTTTGTTGATATTTTCTTAGGGTTGTTAAGCAATAGTTACCTTTGTTGATATTTTCTTGTTTTAGTCTTGGTAAATGAATGAAGAAATATTTTAATAAGTAAACATAAGTTTTTTTTGTTGTTTGTTTTGTTTTTCAGGCTATTTTGGATGTGGTTGTCAACCTTCAGTTCAGTTTAATTGAGAAGCTATGGCAGACATTTTGGCGTTACACACCCCCTGACTCAGTAGAGGGCGCCACCGTAACAGAAAACAGGTAAGATGAAGCAGCTGAAGAGCAGATTTTTTTTTTCTTTTTTCTTTTTATTAAAGGTGTTAGATACGGTGTTCACATCTACTTTGGTGAAATAATGTAATTGATACTAGTGTGTAAGTCTTTGTATTATATATGTAACTTTTGATTCTGCAGCAGCATTAGCGAGATTGAAGCGCGACTCCCTCGATCGCAGCTGTTGGCGCTGTGTAGAAATGAAGCTGTGCTTAAATGGATGAGCACCTGTGACCATCTCATGTACCAGGCCCTTGTTGAGATCCTCATCCCTGATGTCCTGAGACCCATTCCCAGTCAGTCACACTCATGGACAATATCATTATTTTACTTAATTTCCTTTTATGGCCTAACTAGACATCCTTTACTTTTTTTTTTCTTCTCCAGGTGCCTTGACTCAAGCCATTCGAAACTTTGCCAAAAGTCTGGAAGGTTGGCTGAATAATGCTATGAATGCCGTTCCGCAGAGAATGATTCAGACCAAGGTACGACATTGTTGTAGATGACAGGGCGACACCTGATAGGTGTCAACTGAGCTTTAACTTCAGCTTTTCTATGTATTGTTTCAGATTGCCGCTGTCAGTGCCTTTGCACAAACTCTGCGCAGATACACATCTCTGAATCACCTGGCTCAAGCAGCACGTGCTGTGTTGCAGAACACATCGCAAATCAATCAGATGCTGAGTGATCTGAACCGAGTGGACTTTGCCAATGTGCAGGTCAGACGACCTTGTAGTTTAATGTTCACATTTGCCTTTTTTTTTTCTTTTTTTTTTCATCGTACCAATTCATATATCATGAACACTGTATTAAATGAGGGCTGAGGCTCCAGGCGTAAAAATACATTTAATTGCACCTTTCTCAGTTTCCTTAGACGAGACCACACAATTCGTCTTGATTGGCTATTTTTCTTTTGTACAAGTACTGACACCAGAGCTAACTTGAACTACAACAGTCCAGGTACAGGTACTTAGTACAGACGATGTGTTCAGAGGCCAGAAAACTAATTGTTAAATATAACGGCTCTAATAACGGCCCTGTTTGCACTAATCTGTCAGAAGTAAATATTTTGTTGTTCAAAGTTTATATTTGTGTCTTCTTTAATTTCGTAGTCAACCACCATAATTTGATTTGAAAAACTGCTTATTGTTTTAAATTTGTGATCAAGTAAATACAAAAATGTTGTTTTTTTTTAAGTCACATTCCTCCATGATCTTTTTGTACAAAAGTACAAAAATTTTGTTTTTTTTAAGTCACATTCCTCCATGATTATAAATATAAATCATTTGTCTGTTGGACGGTGTTGCTGTACAGGAACAGGCCTCTTGGGTGTGCCAGTGTGAGGAGGGAGTGGTTCAGCACTTGGAGCAGGACTTCAAGGCTACACTACAGCAGCAAAGCTCTCTGGAGCAGTGGGCTGCCTGGCTGGACAACGTGGTCACTCAGGTGCTTAAGCCCTACGAGCATCGACCCAGTTTTCCCAGGGCTGCTCGACAGTTTCTGCTTAAATGGTCCTTTTACAGGTAGGTTGGCCAAAAGACAACTATACTGGTGTGTGATTGTTGCCTGGTTTTCCAACAACACAGAGTTTCAAGTGTTTTTTTCATGTCTCCGTAGCTCTATGGTGATCAGGGATCTGACCCTACGCAGTGCTGCCAGTTTTGGTTCCTTTCACCTGATTCGCCTATTGTACGATGAGTACATGTTTTATCTGGTGGAGCATCGTGTGGCCCAAGCTACTGGAGAGACACCTATTGGTGTAATGGGCGAGGTACAGTTTTTTTTGCTCCTTGAATTCAAATACTTAAAAGCAGGTTTCACTTTTCTGTTTTGATACTGATGAGTATCTTCTGAGAATAATTCATTAAAAAGTGGAGAAACTAATTGAAATGACAACGTTTGTGTCTTTTTCTTTAACAGTTTGACAGCTTCAACACCTTATCCCTCACTAACATTGATAAAGGTACGTGTTTGCAGGAAGAGTCAATGTTGACAACTACTGTTTAACTGTCAAGAAATTATCTCCTGATCATCTGGTCCTTCATTCTATTCTTCAACAACTTGTTTTGTTAAACTTAAATGACTTTGCGGCTGATAAGCATCAAATCTAAACAGAGCAGACACAGACAAGCACAGCATTTAATAGAAGTGCTATCCTGAACATCTCAACAAGACAACCTCAGTCCGTTTGGTCTACTCTAAAGACTCCAAAGAATTTATTCAACTCCTTAAACTGTCTTTCATTTGTCAGACCACTCTAACTTGTCCTTTAATAAATCTGTTTTGCCTTAAGACCTATAACAGGGACTATAATATAAGACAGATTTTACAGCCATCTTCTGTAAATATTCTGCTTTAATCCAATTAGTCAAGCTCTTGATTTGACAGTTTGGTATTTTTCCCTGTCTAGATGAAACAAGTGGGATGGACAGTGACTTAGAAGAGGACTCAGAGGAATGTGGGGAGCCTCTCGCCAAGCGGGAAAAGTCTGAGCATGAGGTGATCCAGGTAATCCAGGTCAGTGGACTAGACGATGGTAGCCACCCCGTGGTGGGAGTGGTCCAGCCAACCGTTCTTCACCACTCTCTGCCTCAGCCCCCGCTGGACCACACTGAGCACATCCTTACGCCCTCTGCTGGTACCCCCAACATCCGCCACTGCAGCACAACAGGCAACACCTACGCCTCTGTCTGAGGGTGTGGCCAAAAAACAAATTCTGGCAGATTTTTTAACTGTTTCACCTTCACTGCATATCTTTCTCTCTGTAAGTCTTAAATGTTTCTGTCTCTCTTCACACATTGTCTCCGTCTGCAACCAGCCTCTCTCCCCTAGTGGAGAAGTGCTGAAATACACTCTGGCTAAGTTGAGCTGTCTGTTTCTGACTGCTCAGATACTGGATGTGGTGTCATCCAATAAAAGTCTCTGCCACAACAACTGGTGGAGGAAATGGAGTCAAATGACCTGGTAAACATTACTCGCTAAGTCAGTAACAAACAGCAGCTACCTGGTCTGTGTACGCTGACGAGCTTAACTCCTTCAAACTACTGACGTCTCAGAGCTCAAATCAAGTCACCAGTCCCAGTGAAACAAAGTCATAGTGTAGTAAATCATAGCTATTATTTGTTGTAAATACTTTTCTTTCTTCCTTTAATTGGTATTACCCAAACAACATGGTGCTAACGTTGTTTTTGCTTTGAAATCTAGTTCTCTTTGCTGTTATTGGTTGGTGTCAATAGGCATTCAAATGATGTTATTGTCATTGGCTGTCGCTAAAAAAACACAAATGACTTGCTACATATGACCATTTGTTTACAAATCTATCTGGTTTTCGTTCACCCAAAATAACTAATAGCTTTCAGCCACATTAAAAAAAAAAAAAAAATCAACTTAAATATTTGTGCTGCTACTCCTGTGTTTGTATTTAGAATACTGAGAACTTTGGCTCTGCACCACCGTTTTCTCAGTGCTAGCTTTTCTATGCACATTGTGCATAGTGCTTGCCTTTGTTTGTATTAGATGCTCCGTAATATGTGTTTGCTGTGACGTGCTCATTTACCGACAGGACACGTTCCACAGTTTCCCCCACGCCCCAACACCCCGGTTCCAATCCAAAACAATTTTCTTACGTTCATAAAAAGGACCAAAAAAAACTGAACCCACGAGAGGAAACTGTCAGTGCCGCCCGAGAGCCGTTTCCTGTTACACAGTGCCATGTTGCAGAACAGAAGGAATGTCAGGGATTTTATGTACCTCGGCTTTATCATAGTGCCTTATCCTTTTTAATGCAGCTGCCCTTGTTGTCATGACTGTGCGTTGTAGACGACCCACAGCCTCTCTGCATTGTCCCAGCCCCAGATGTTTAGCTTTCTGGTGACTTGTGGCTGGATTTGGGCTGGCTTCATCAGCATTGAGACGGAGGAATGCAGGCACAGACACATCTGTTGTTTTCCCTCTGGATCAGCTCTGCTACGCTCATAACGCATCTGATTCGTGGTCCATAGCCTCGATCCTGCCCTACTTCTGCCATCTAGAGGCCTGTTCTTGCATTAGCCTTTGTTACTGGGTGATGTCTACACACGAATGTCTAAGTCCGTGCTGTGTTTTGTACATACATATATATATTTATCTGTGTCTTGTGTGCTTGGAACACATCTGTCAGTCACCCTACCTCAAACCAGTGGTGCCAGCCCTTTTTGACTCGTGCAGAACAGTCACCAAACACTTATTGCACACACACACACACACAGACACACAGACACACATCCCTGTACTGCACAGATCTCAACGCGTTAAAGAAAACCTGCATTGCTTTTTCTCTCACCTGATTCTTTCGGTTCCTCGCCCGTAAATGCTTTTGTCCTTTGTTCCCTGTTTGAAGATCATCTTTGTACAGTGGACCAAAAGTAGATATTTTCTGATAAAGAGAGAGAGAGATATATATGTATATTATATATAATGATAAAAAACACTACATATACTTGTTGCTTTATATGTTGTTGATCTGATCATTTATCTGTGTTATTTTTGATTGGTAGCGCCACACTGTAATTAGTTTATAGACTGAAGGCATGGGTACTTTTGTTTTGTTTTTTGTTTTTTTTTTTAGAATACTTGAAGGTTTTCAACCTTCGACATTGTGAAGAATATTGAGATTAATCCCCTGAATAGGAACGCTTGGCTGCGATATTTGTTTGTTTGGTTTTTTTTTTATCTTGTTTAACATGCTTGTTAAACTGTTGCGATACTCTAAGCATCTGTTTGGAGAAATGTTTATTTATTGGTATTTATTGTGTTTTTGTTTATGGAGAGACTTGTTATATTGGTACTGGATAATGAATTGTGAATGACACTTACTGCAAAGAGCAGACCTACTGTACAGAAGGACCGGAAACTTCTTTTGCTTATTTTTTTCTTCCTTCTTTGTAAGTCTTGCATTATTTTGATTGTTGATCTTTAAGGAGGGGTTGGTACTATTTCTTTGTAGTAATCAGTCCATGACGTTCTATTACAAATCCAAAAAAAAAATCCCTTTTTGATACTAGCAGTAAACAGGAGCTTTGCCATGTTGTCTTAAACTACAAACTTCATTTCCAAAAAAGTTGGTATACTTTCTAAAAATACAATAGGAAAAAGAATAACTGAGTCCATGTTATTTACCTGAACCATTGAGGAAACAGTGTCAATTAACACAATGTGTTTTTAAAAATGACATTAGATCCTTCATGCCAAAGACAGACAGATCAAACCAACGGTCCCTAGGATATGCCATTAAGGATCTGCATACATGTGAAGTTGTACCACATTTTTCATTATTCATAATAGAGTAAATCAAACCGATGTATTCAGGTCTAAAAAAAAGAAAAACGGACATGATTTGTGCATCTGCACCGCAGCAGGTCCAAACAAGACATCTTTTCCCAGGTTCTTGTCCCATAGAAAAGTCTATGGGACAAAAACCACTGAAACGCCTACTGTATAAATTATAAAAACATTACTCTAGATTGAAGAGGCAGTTGTTCAATTTGCCCTCCTGTTGTTCTGATTTGTCTACTATTGAAATAGTCCACAAAGAGGAAACTCAAACGTCAAGGTTCAGACTTTTAGGCCGCTCAAATCTTATACACAAAGACAAACACTTATATACAAAATCAGCAGCAACACGAGAACGTTCACACAACAACGCCACCAAAATTTTGTGTTCTCAGTTTGGGTGTGATGTGAAGATAATTCAATGCCTGGAGTGTGTTGCAGGTGTCGGTTGCTAAAGTTTACTAAACAGAACTATTTGGCTGTAAAACCTTCAGTAAATAACAGATTTGACATTTTACTGTGTTTTTAGAAAGTGGACCAACTTTCTGAAAATGGGGTTTAAATCTGGTTGCCTGTGTGGGGACCACACTTGGCGGTAAAGAAGGGTGTGTTTAATTGTTCGTCTGTGTGGGTCAGTGGGTTTATTTGTGTCTTTAAATTATTTTTAAAACACGTTGGGGGAATTTTACAAGGAATTCTTTTTTTTTATACCTGCAGCACACATGTCTTATCATTAAGCCTTACACTTTTTCTATTGGCTTTAATATCTGGAAAAACCCAGATGAAATGTGCGAGGATTCAAACTTTCTTCTCATATCCCTTAAGGACAATTTACAAAAATGTCAGCA